GTCACAAATCCATAAGATCTCAAAATGGACATAAAATGTGAACACACCATTCTAAAAAAATGGCTAAAACATTTTAGCAAAAATTGCTAGGGAGCAATCAGGAAATTAATTTTTTAATTAATGTGACTAGGAAACATACTTTAAAGACTTAACCTAGTGTTGTCAGAAAGCAGAGAAATGGGTACTGTTACTCCATTAGAATATAAGTAGATTAGGCATTTTATAGGGTCATTTGGCAATACCAGCCAATTTTTGGTCCAAAAATAACCCAGAAATGACAGGATCTGGCTAAATTTTTTAAAACAAATGATCTAGAAATGACAAGATACACGCACAAAAATTACACAAGTTTGTTTCCGGCAGTACTGTTTGTAATACGCCCAAACTGGGAAGAGTGCAGACATCCATCATAGAGATGTAATTACACACATGATGGCATACATCCATAGCTGGGAGCACGCAAGAGTGAAATTCACAAGTGCATGTATCTGTGTGTACAAGATTAATACACTGCAAAAGGTCTAATACCTAGCAAGCTCTTTACATAGACGTTCACGCTAGGCCAGGGAATGGGATGGGAGAGAAGATTTAAGATTTGGCATTTTGGTGCACATACTTTCATATTATTTGATTTTTGATAAAATCATATTCATCAGGTAATTAAAAAAGAACAAAGGAATAGACAAAATCTTAGGACATGTAGATGAGATGGAGGTCAGGCTTATGGGCTCCTGCAGGGGTGGAGAGTTGGGAGGGTCGGCGGTGTGGAGGTGTGGGCGTTTAAGAACCCAGAACAGACTGGATGGAGATGCCTGTTCAATAAGGAAGAAGTCTGGACTCCTGAACACAAACACTTTTCAGTGCACGCCTTGAGTGGATGGGGGGTTAGGAGGTATCTTCATATGTCATCACCAGCCTGCTGCGGAGGCACATATTAGGAGAGGAGAATATTAAAGACAAGGCATCCCATTACTTCTCAGAGATGAGAATAACATACTTCTTGGAGTTTCATTTAAAATAAAATGAAATAACAGCACTCAGGTTAAATTATCAGCATACGATCATCTGCAGTACCCAGGAATGACGGAAATTGCTATTTTCCAATCAGAAAGAAAACAAAACTCTCCAGCAAAGGCTAATGACCCCCGGGTGATCGCCGCGCATGCACACACATACTGCTATTCACACAAGCGCACGTGAACACACCTGCAGCAGCTCTGCGACCTGTGGTAACAGCCTTCCTGAGCACTGTCTCCAGAGTGTGGGCACAGCCCTTCCCATTGCCCCTTCCCAGGCCTCCACTCACAGGATGTCATCCTCCAGTGACCTATCCAGCCAGCCGCCTTCTATAGCTTCCCTTTCAATTGGCGACACTTGCAAATAAACCATTCTGCCCTCCAAAGCAGGTCTACTTTCAGTTTTTCAACAAACTTAACTTGCTTGGATAACCAGATACTTTCCTATCTTTAATCTCTAGCACAGTGACTGCACATACTAGGTGCTCAATAAATCACACTTAGCCAACTTCTCACCCTCCAGAAAAGGCCATCTACCTCCCCAACTGGTATCCCACTAAATGATTCTTTCTTAGTTTTTCAGGCTGTTATTTCTCTCATCTTAAAAATAACCAACTCTGGCTTGGTTAATAGCACTGTACCAACTTTACTGTTGACTTCTTAGTTTTGATAATTTCACCATGGTTATGTAGGACGTTGATATTCAGGGAAGCTGGGTAAAAGGTATATGGGAGCCCTTTGCAGCTCTTCTGTAAATCTAAAGTTATTTTGAAATAAAAAGTTTTAAAACAAAATCGTAAGGAATAAAAGAAAAGGGGGTGTGGGGATGAGTTTTATGGACTATACTTGCCTTTCCCATCTTTTTCTTTCCCTTCATAGTAAAACTCTTTGAAACCATTATCTATCCTCACTCATTACAATTTCTTTCCTGCCAGTTGCTCCTAAAGCTACCGCATTCTTCACGTTTTTTTTTTTTTCTTAACATTCATCTCACCGAGATCACCAGGGATCCTTCCAGTTGCTAAATCAATGGCCGCTCATCGGAACGCATCTTTCCTGTCCTGCCAGCAGCACGACACAGTTGGCCAGTCTGTCCTGGAAACACTGTCTCCACACAGTGTGCTGACACCACACTCATCTCCTATTCCTCCTTCTTTTTTATTAGAGCACAGTTTGCAACTCTGAGAGCCTCAAACCTCAGCAACCCCCACAACTAACACAGCAGGGGCTGAAACAAGCTGGACAGCAAAAATTTGTCCACAACAGATACAATCAAACATTCAGAAAGCCATGAGTTCATAATGATACTTTAAAAAAATCTCACTAGCGACCAGCTTTGGAGGTTGCTTGGGCACCAATTCATATTAGACTAACTGATAAAGAGAAAAGAATCAAGCATTGATTCTTTCATAATTATTGTTAAGATTTTAAAGTAGGGGCTTACCTTACTCCAGAACCAGGGTTCCAAGCAACACCTTTATCTCAGAGCTCCATGCACACCTGTAGACACCTGTGGGGGAGGGATGGTGGACTATTTGGGAAAGACCAAGTATTTTTTCCATTTTCTGGTAAGTGCTGGTACTCATACCAACAGTTCAAGTCTGAGAAAGACTCATACATCATCTTAACCTAGCTCTTGAATACACTGTAGAAGTGTCTCGTGTCACAAAAGGAAACATCTTTTCATAAACTCATTAGGTCAGGATGATCTCTAAGAATTCCTTTAGGGGCGCCTGGGGGGCCCGGTTGGTTCAACATCTGACACTAGATTTCAGCTCCAGTCATGATCTCACATTTCTGGGACCGAGCTCCATATCAAACTCTGCACTCATGGCATGGAGCCTGCTTGGGATTCTTTCTCTCTCCCTCTCTTTCAAAATAAATAAATAAACATTGGAAAAAAAAAAAAAAAGAAGTCCTTTAACACAGCTCATTACCTTAGGCAGTCCCTTTCACCCGCGGAAGAAATATTTATTAAGCACCTGTTGTGTGCCAAGCACAGTACTGAACAAGACAGGGCCCTACCTGCATGTAGCTTAAAGGTTAGTGGACTAAATCTAAGCCATCCAGCCTCTTGAAATCCTTTCGGAATAAGATAAGGAATAGCAAATTAATAACATACTCATCACATTCAGTCCCCATAACAGCCCTAGGAGGTACATAGTATTAGCTCTATTTTATATGCAGTAGCCAGTGTGTGCACACATGTGTGTAATTACAAACTGAGGCATGACACACTTGAGGGACTCGCTCAAGGTCATCCATCTAGTAAGCAGTATGACTCCAGGGCTCTCTCCAGTCTACACTCAGCCTCTACACCATAAATCCATGCCGCTCTGGCTGGAGTCAGTTCAATCTGAGTACCAGAGAGATCGTGACTAGCCCAGCAAACAAGGCAACAGGCCATTCTTGGCCAACAGACCAGAAATACTGTCCAGCACTCAGCACCAGAAATGAGCTGGAAGGGACTACAGTCCAAGCAAAGGTCATACCTGCCCCATCTAGGAAGGTTACAGATGGTGACAGTCACTGGCAGGGTGGTGGGGAGGACAGGTAGCCCTTGCTCTGTGACAACAGCAGGCAGAGGCCGTGGTGGGGGGGACAGAGGCCGTGGATGGTACCTTCCTCTGCTCCCATCTGTGCTGAGGAGGCTCGCCCTGCGCCTCCACTCCCAACACGAAAGAGCCTGGGGTGGCCACTTTCTCTATACCTTTGTGTCCCCACCCCTCCCAGCTGCCTTTGCCAGTCAGCAGAAGAGCCCCCTCCTGCTCCCACATCCCTGAATCTCATCATGCTGTGCTCCTATGCCTCTTGAGTAGTCAGCCCTAAAGCCCAGCCCTTGGGGGCCAATTGATGAGTCAGGACTCATTGCAGCCAGAGCCTCTGATATTGCCTCCCCTCACCCATGAAATGCAGATGATCACTGCCTTGAACAGACTGAAATTCCCATCAGGTCAACAGCCTCCATTTCTTCCTGCTTAACTTGAATATGGGATTGAAATAGCTGACAGATGATCTTTGCTTAAAACCTGACAAGGTTCGGGGCACTTGGGCAACTCAGTTGGTTAAGCATCTGATTAATCTGACTCTTGATTTCAGCTCCAGTCATGGTCTCGTGGTTCATGGGTTCCAGCTCCGCATCTGACTCTGCACTGATAGTATGGAGCCTGCTTGGGATTCTCTCCCCTCTCCCCCACCATGCCCTTCCCTTGCTCTCTCAAAAAATAAAAACTTAAAAATCTTTTTAAAAACTTGACAAAATTCAAAATGGGGCAGAGACCATAATAATGGTGCCAGCCATCACCAAGTCTCGTAAATGAATTATGTAGTTAAGCCCCAAAGTCCCTGCGAGGCCTGCAGCCACAGAGACGACAAAGAGCAGGCTGTCTTTTCCCATCAGCTCAGGCACAAAATCCCAACTGGGACTCCTGTGTCCCCAGAACCGATCTTCCCTCCTTCCCAGACACCTTTGACCCTCACAGTATTCTCCAAGCTGGCAGCCTTGGGCCCAACCCTGTGTGTCACAGAAAGAAGGACCTGGCCTCAACCTATGGACTTTTGGCCGTTTAAAGATCTAAACGAAGGTAAGAAGAGTGGTCTGCTTCCCAGTAGTTTCATTAGAGCAGCCCTGCAAGGAGGCTCCACCATCCTCTGCACCCACCCCGGGGGCTGCCTCCCAACCCCAGGCTTAGCAAGGAGCTACGTGCTAGTTGCTTTCTTTCAATCATTCAACAAGTACGTATTGCAGAGCTGTTGGTGCCAAGAGGAACCCTGGCAAAGAAATTAAATAAAAGGCAGAAGAGCAGGATTTGGAAATGGCTCTATCTATACCCCCTAATCAATCCTCAGCACATTTTTACAGCCAGCTAGCCTGGCCACTGAAGGCAAGATTCAGCATGGAATCCAGCAGTCACCAATGCTTTTGTCCCAAACAAGAAGCCACCTCCCTCCATGTCATGTTAAGGCAGACAACCAAGACACAAAGCACAGGAAGGATTTCATTTGAGGACAGACTAACAATTCACCAGGATACATACTTAGGACATTCATCAACACTAAGCGAACATACCAGGTAACAATTCCCTAAACAAGTTTTCCTAATAATTTTCTATTTCCAAACCCAAATTTGATGGTCTGAAGAAGCAAGTCTTCAGGCTGTAGTAAGCTGAACTTAGACCTTAAATATACAGAATTTTCAAGATAAGATTAATAAGAATGTGTTTAAATTATAAGTTTACTGGATATAAGATACATAGGTTGCTACCAAATAAAGATAGCCTTTATCTTACACACAGAACATTTGCATGTGATTAAGTTAAAGTATAGTCTCTTTTGTCCCTAAGGGGATAGAACACCTATACTGACCAATTCAAGATGTATAATCAAATAGTTATTAATAAAAGAAGATCAATATAGCAAAACTAATTTGCTCAATGAAGTCTTTGCAAAACGTTTGTCATTGAAGTCTGTCAGCTGGTTTTTCTTTGATGCTCCAGCTGGTCACTTAGTTCAGCCTTAAAAACAAAAACAAAAACAAAAATGTTGAGTAGAGGTATATTCATGGTACCACAAATCACACATCTGTTACTGCCCTGAGTGGATTTCACAGCTTTCTCTCCTACCTCTGTCCGCTCCCTACCACCACTTCTCAAAGCAAATGTGTTCTTTGGGAACGTGGCTGTTTTCCAGTTGCTTGGAGAAAAAGTCTGTCATTGGAGGTGGGCCACAAATATAGAACAAAGTCTCTTTTGAAATATGATCTCTTATCTCCTTCTCCGTTATTCTTCCTTCTACCAGGAAAAAACAAAACAAAACAAAAACACACACACACAAAAAAAAACACAAAGAAAAACAGAATAAACACTAAATGAGCCAGACATGTCTGTACCGAAATGAGGAAGGACTAATCACCACTCAGCAACAGTGCTGGCTTCCAGGAACTCAAGCTCAGGGAATCTAGCGCAGAGTCCCTCACACACGGCTCCTGGCCATCGCACCGGGACCAGACCCAAGAGGAGAGAGTACATCTCCAGGTTTCCTAAACTTACAGAGGGCAAAGTGGGAAGGCCACTGTCATGCACTCTTCAGACAGGGCCAGTTAGCTTACAAATCTTTGGTAGATTCAGAACTCACTTCAGCAAAGTAAATAAACTGGTGAAAAATCTTTCCAGGCAGGGGAAACCATGAGTAGTTTAAATGACCATGAATGGCCATTGGCACCAATTCAGTCAAAGTTGGAATATAAATTCTCTGTAGGCATACTACAATGATGATGCAAAGTTTGCCTTAAAAAATGTGGAAAATAAATTTTTAATATGGGCAGTAAGAAACCTGTATATAATAAGTAATTCCCACTAACTCCATCCTTATTTTTCCACGATGAATCACCTCCCAGCTCCCCAGGTAGGGACATTCCTAGCCAGCAACTCCCAGTGGTAAAGCATCCACACTCAACCAACCGGCACGTCCTCCAAACAACTGCGTGGAGATAGTCAAAATATCTTCAGGGGACTCACCCGTGAGGTACGGCTGGAGTTCTGCACTGATTTGTGTAGTCTGTTTGGTAACATGCAAACTGCACGCAATCTTCTCAGGAAATTCATTTACTAAATCGAGGATATTTTGCTGGAATGTCAAACATATTTGGTCACACTACAATTTTAAAAAATCAAAACAGATGTGCACAACCCCTGCCGCCGAGTGTCGACTCCCATTCTGCACACGTCTGCCACTCTTCCTCCCACTTAGAGAGGTATTGTCTGTAGCCTAGCAGGCCGGAGCAGTCAGAGTACAGAGGGCTATTTGGCTTTAATTGAAATCTGAATATGCTAACAAGCATATTACTAACTCTCCGGGAGTTTTTTCTTTCTCCTTTTTCTCAAGCATTGGCAATTAAGCAGCAGTTTCACTGACCACAGTTGTGTCTTTTAACTGTTTCTGTTCTTTTGTTCATCCTGCAGCTGCAAAGCAATCCAGAGTAAAAGCCTTCTCCTGTCAAATGTACTTCGTTTCCACAGATGCAAGCGACGGGGGTTTCGTTTACCCACCGGGTCCAAACTCTCTGCCTCTCACCTACTCCTGTAACACACGAGCCCACCAGTAGGTCTCCTGACTATGGAATCTCAGGGATGTGGTGACTTTTCTGTTCATCTGCCTCCAGATTCAAGCCCACAAACCTGCCCTACACCTGTCACTTCAGTGGGCATGTCCTCAACACTAGCTGTTTCATTGTCCTGTGTCACAAGTGTTGGTTAATTCCCATCTGAACATGATAAAGTCTTGTCAGGCCTTTTGTTGGAACGGTTGCAGAGAAGACAGAACCAACGGAAGAAAGTTCCGTGAACGATTAAAACCATGACACGTGTGCTCATGGCAAGCTACAAGACATGTGTTTCTCCGTTACCTTAAACAGGAGCTCACTGGTGTTTTTTGCACTGTAGAAGAGCTTTATTGTTCCAACCTCATAGCCACTTCCTTTGTTCACCCGGTCTCTGTGGAGGTCTGCCGCATGCCGCAGGATGGAAAGCAGAGGGTTAATTCCGACTCCCCCCGCAATCAACACCAAGTTTCTAGAGGCGTCTGCAGGCTGAGGGTCAAAGAAGAACTCTCCACCCACTCTCACCGCCACTTCAGAGTCAAGTGTACACTGGGGCAGGAACGAAAAGATAGTTCCATTAGTCCTTTGTGACACAGGTCTTAAACATTATGCTCTTCTTTAATAAAACGGACCGTGTCTGCCTCCTGCATGTTTATCAGTGTTTAGGACTATTTTTACAGCCGGCTCTCAATTGTCCCAGGGCCCTGTGACCCGATTCCACTTGCCTGTTATACAGGCCATTTGCTACTCTGCCTTTGTGATTCACAGTGCACAGCCACTCCAGTACGGACAAAAGGAGACTCACGTCAGTAGTTTTGCCATTTGTTAACTTCTTAGGTGATGAGTTGGGTTGTGGAAAAAGGCACTGAACTCAGAGGACAGCTCTGAAGCGTGAGTTTCCTTCCCTGTGGGGCACTCCTGTTTGCTAACCAAAGTCATGGAGCCGAGATCAGCAGGATGGAGCAGGTGTCACTACATTGCGGCTGTCCTGGGCTCATCAGAGAAGACCCTGGGGACCAGGGGCTTCCTCCGAGTCACCAGCAGGGCACAGCCAGAGCAGTTGCACAGGCTTGAGGCCAGCCCTGCAGTGCTGCTAGATACTGCCCGCTTCTCCCTGGAGAGGTGAGGACAGACAGCAGAGGCTCACACTAGGAGGGGCTACCACATACACCCACCCCACCCATGTAAAGCACCCTATGTGGTTAGGCCACTTAGACCAGAAATACCATCAGAGCTGAATGCACTGGTCTTCCATGGGGGTGATCCTGCCCCTGACGGGGTGTTTGGGAAACACGTGTTGACACTTTTTTATTGAAATCATGGTTTGGGAAACCCAAATGGCAAGGGGCAGGGCCAAAGACGCTAGATGTCTTGTAAAGTTAGCAGTGTCCCAGAGCCAGGTCCTGTTCAGCTGTTGGCTAAAGTCTGAGGAATTTCGTGAGCCAGTTGCTACTGGTAGTGTGAAATCAGCCATTGAGGGAATATCTGCAGCACAGAAATCAGCAAATGCTGCAATTGAGGGCTTTTTTTGTACTCAGAGAGCCAGTCTAGCAGCACATCATTATCTGCAATGCACAGGACTGCCCTGCAGAAACTTCCGAATAGCCCACAGGACATAAATGTAGGCGAAAACTGGTTCGTAATGATCTGAGACTAGATCCTAACTCAGTTTACAAAAAACGCAAAGCACTTTTTTGCACACATCTAGTGGCGTCTGAATTTTCCAGAATGTAACCATCATGTGGATTGTACTCTGTTGTATCCAGAACTTTCCCAAATATGTTCACTGTTCTGGAAAACCACATCCCAGTTGGTAACATGCACGTGTGATGTTTCTGTCACCATAAACAACCTTACGATCTGCATCTGTAGACGGTCTGCTCATGGTGATTCCATGCTGAAGAATATCCGTCTGCCTACTTCATTCAATCTTCTAGTTACGATACGCCCAACCACTGATACACTGAAACACACAGGGCTACATGGGTGGCCCAGTCGGTTAAGCGTCTTACTTGAGTTCAAGTCGTGATCTTGCAGTTTGTGAGCTCATGCCTGGCATCAGGCTGTCCGCTGTCAGTGCAGAGCCTGCTTTGGATACTCTGTCCCCCCTCTCTTTGCACCTCCCCCCCTTGTGCTCTCTCTCTCTCAAAAATAAAATAAAACATTAAAAAACAAAAAGAGGGGCACCTGGGTGGCTCAGTCAGTTAAGCATCTGGCTTCAGCTCCGGTCATGATCTTGTGGTTTGTCAGTTCCAGCCCCACTCGGGCTCTCTGCTGTCAGCACAGAGCCTGCTTCGGATCCTCTGTCCCCTCTCCGTCTGCCCCTCCCCAGCTTGTGCTTGCTCTCTCTCAAAATAAAAAAAGAAAGAAACTTTAAAAAAAAAAAAAAAAAGAAAGAAAGAAACACATAGTCTCTGTGAATCACTTTTCTTTTTCTTTAAGTAGGCTTCATGCCCAGCGTGGAGCCCAATGTAGGGCTTAAACTCACGACCCTGAGATCAAGACCTGACCTGAGATCAAACATCAGATGCTTAATTGACTGAGCCACCCAGGCACCCCATGAATCACTTTTATTTCTCCTTGGCATTACACTTAGAGAATTATGCCATCGGAAAAATTTTTCATGTGTTGATTACATTACCTTTGAATTTCATTTCAGGACAGTTCTACAAAGAGTGCATTGGATGTGACAGGGTTGAGACCTCTAGTTTGAAGAAAATGCACTGATCTTTGAGCCAGAAGACTGCATTTTAATCACAGCCTATGAAATACATCAAGTTCCTTCATTTTTCTGAGCCTCTGCTGCCGCATCTGTTAAGTGGGTACCAGCCCCTGTCCTGCTCACCTCACAGGGCCATGGCAGCCATCATACGACACACTATGGGGAAGAATTCCCAGCTGGCATCGAGTTCTCTTACGAGAGCGTGTTTTAGTCATCGCAGCTGCCATAGAAGGAAAAGCACTGAGCGTACCTGCTTCCTTCTTCCCTGTCACTAAAACATAGAACTAAAGAAACTTATATCAAAAGCAAAGGTTTGCTCCATTACATGTTCCTGATGTAAATAATTAAACTCCCTCCTAAGAAGCAATAAGTTGCATGTGCTTTTACGAGACCAAACCCTCAGCATTCACTCCTTGGCACCTTACATGGAAGGTAGGCAGGTAAGTACTTATTCACATGAATTAATTTGGGGCTTAACAACTTAAAAATGTTAAATCTTAAGAGTTAATCTTAGAGAAATCTAAGAAAAACTGAAAATTATTTTAATTCACTAAAGAGGTCCTTTCTGGAAAGCAAAGAACTATTCAATGAAGGGAAATCCTTTCTCTGAGGGTAAAGAAAAACATCTGAACTTAACAGTTTTAAATATATAGGCCATTTTTACATGAAGAATGGTAAGAGGGTCTTAATTTTTGACAAAAGAAATTAGAAGCAAGGGAGCATTCTGTTAGGAATAAGTACAATCTAGGAATCACTACACTGGCTACCAAAGGGCTTTAAAATGTCCCTTCTTGCCAAGTCTCAAAAACAGAAGCTGCGATACGAGAGGCTCCGCCTAATGACAACAGATGTGATCTCTCTGTACCTCCCTCCCCACCCTGCCTGCCTGTACACATCTCTTTATCTCTAAGAATGTAAGAGAGACTAAGAAATGAGACAGAAATTATTTTCTCTTTTGGTCATCTTCAGTAGGATTAGTAATGAGAAAAAAGTCTTTAGGGTACTATCTTTAGAAACCAGAGTATTTTCAAAACCCTAAACTTGGCAAAAAAAAAAAATGTGCATTCCATCTCCTTAGTGACAAAATAATCTTAAATAGATCTATCTTCTAATTTGCTAGCATCTGGAAAGAATGAAAAGCCATCTCTGTCTTTTATTGATCAATAAAAACTGCCAAGGTAGCATGAGCACAAGACTCAAAGTGCTATACGGTATAATCTGGAAGCGAGTAAAAGGACATTATCCTCAATTACATAGCCATGTTATCTAATTTGGGTATAGATTTTCTACTTGTGAAATAAACAACTTTTCCACAGCTACTGGAGCCCAGCACACAATAGCTGTCTAGAACCCTTTACCCTGCCAGGAGCCTGAGCCAAAGCAGATAAAATAAAGGAAGACATTTATGGCACTTTATCCCCTGTCCCAACAGAGCAGCCTGCTGCCACCCAGACACTCACGTGCCTCCATTGTCCACTCTAATAGCTTCATAAGACAAACCCTCAGGAGGAAAACAGCCACCTAAGAATGGTTCCAAGAAAAATCTGACTTCATAAAGGCTGTTTGCAACTCCCACCGGGCAGAGCAAAGCAGGCACTACAATTAAAATGTGCATTCAAGCAATGCCACTTGGAGATTTTCTACCGCCTCTAAGAATAAGTTCCTTCACTGAAATGCCAATGAGGCATGAAACCAAGCAGGGAGCTGTGGACCCGGACCAGGTCAGGTCACGTGGGAGGGGGCTCACGGAACTAGGAGCTGGGATGGCTATGCTCGTTTTAACACTGAGTGTGGGGCACATGGAAACCTTGTTGGTGCCACCCCCACTGCATCTTTTAGACTCAGGATGCAGCCTACGGACAGAAATGGGTGGAAAATCCAAAGCGAATCTAAAAAGTAATGAGGCAGCTGAGGACACATGGAAGGAGTGACTCAGAAGGTCGGAGGGAAAAACTGTGACAGGATACACTTAGAATGGAAATGCTAAGGCAAGCAGCTGCCTTACTCTGAACAGATACAACTTGACATGCAGACCCTAATTAGAACAGTTATTTTTATGCCGCTATAAAATATCTTTTATTTTTTTAAATTATTTTACAGTAATACTCTTTTGGGGGGTGGAGGGAGTATAGTTCTACGAATTTTAACACATACATAGATCTGTGTAACTACCACCAAAACCAAGATATGGAACAGCTCCATCGCCCCCCAAAACCTCCCTGTGCTCTCTCTCTGTGCTCACACCTTTCCCTACCCCTTTCCCCTGTTAACCACTCATCTGTTTTCCATCATTGTATCTTTGTCTTCCAGAGTGTGACAAAAATGGGATCATGGAGTACGTAACCTTTGAGACTGGCTTTTTTCACTCTACATGTGGCCTTTGAGACTCACCCAACCAAGGGGAAAGCATCAATAGTTCATCCATTTTTATTGCTGAATAACAATACATTGTATGAATGGATCACAGTTTATCCACTCACCTGTTGAGAAACATTTAGGTTGTTTCCAGTTTTTGATAATTATGAATAAACCACAATAGATGTTCCTGTACAGGCTTTAAACTGAACTGAGCTTTCGTTTCTCGAGAATAAACACCCAAGAGCAGGATTACTGGGACTTTGATAAGTGTATATTTAGTTTCATACAAAAATACCAAGATGTTTTCCAGATTGGCTGCATTATCTCGCACTCTTGCTAGCCATCTAAGCAATACAAAAGACTTCAGTCACTCCACATCCTTACCTGCACTTGGTCTGGTCAGAATTTTTAACTTCTGTCATTCTAATAGGTGTGGAGAGATACTACTATATACGGTTTTAACCTGCATTTCCCTAACGATGGCGAGTATCTTGTCATTGCTTATTTCCCATCTTGCATCCTTTTTAGTGAAGTATTCATTCAATCTTCTGCCTATTTTTAAATTATGCCTGTTTTCTTTTTGCCGACTTTTGAGAGTTCTTTATGTATTCTGGATATTATACATTCTTTCTTGGATACCTAACGTGCAAATAACTTTCTCCAAGTCTGTAGCTTATTGTTGTTGTTGTTGTTAATTCTGTTAACAGTCTCTTCTGCAGAAAAACGTTTTAATTTTGATTAAGTCCTATGTATCAATCTCTTCTTTCATGGGTCTTACTTTCGGTGTCCTCCTAAGAACATTTTGCCTACCCTCAAATGCAGAATATTTCCTAAATTTTCTCCTGAAATTTTTATAGTTTTGTGTTTTCTACTTAGATCTATAATCTATTTTGGGTGAATATTCAACATGAAGTATGACATTTAGGTCAAAGTTCTTTTTCTTGTTTTGCATACGGATAAACAACAGTCCCGTCTCTACATGTTGAAAAGGTTACTCTTTTGCCACTGAATTTCTTCAGCACTTTCATCAAAGATCAAATGGCCATATGTATGTTGGTCTATTTCTGAACTCATTATTCTGTTCCATCAATTTATGTGTCTATCCCTTCACCAATATCACACTGTTTTCATTACTATAGCTTTATTTTCACCTTAAATTTAAGCAATGTGATTGTTCCCACTTTATTCTTTTTCAAAACTGTGTTAGCTCTTCTGGCCCCTTTGCCCTTCCATATAACTTAAAATCAGCTACAATATTTATACTGGTACATTCCTTTTCGGCAAAGGTGATAAGAAAAGTCCCAGGGTGGGATGGAGGTTGTTGGTAAATATAGAAGGCACGGTCCAGAAATGAAAGGGATCGCAGTCAAAAGGAGACAAGGGTCAAAAATTAAGAAGACAAACAACTAATCAGTGCTGAGCTCAGTCTTTGTTACCAGAGTTCTGGGAGGTACTGAGCAGGCAGCTTCTGTAGGACTGTGCTGAGTCCCATAGTAAAACAGGAGTTACAAGCAGCAAAGGTGGATCCCCTCTTAGAATCACATGTGACGAGCTCTCCAGAAAGGCAATAACACCCCAGATTCAGCAGCACTCAGCTCTGGGCACGAGCGGGATGCAATCAGAAATCGTTTCCAAATGAGAGGGTGATCGTTTAATTCCCTTTGTTTAGGACAGTTGGGACAAAATAATCTGACTTCCAGACTTACCACTTACAAGACATATACACAGAGGGCCACTTTTTAAACACTTACAGGGGCACCTGGGTGGCTTAGTCGGTTAAGCTTCTGACTTCAGCTCAAGTCATGATCTCATGGTTTGTGAGTTCGAGCCCCACATTGGGCTCTGTGCTGACAGCTCAGAGCCTGAAGCCTGCTTCATACTGTCTCCCTCTCTCTCTCTGTCCATCCCTTGCTCATGATCTGTCTCTCTCTCAAAAATAAATAATCATTAAAAAATATTTTTAAAAAAAACTTACATAAAAAGTAAAATATTTCAATACTAAGGAGAGTTCAACTCAACACTGGTAACCCAGGATATATTGTAAGTCTTCTTCCTTAATGCATCAAAAGGACTCTGCTTCTTGACCATTGTGGAGTGGGAATTCTGGATAGAGGGGCTCTTTGTGAGTATGCACGCTTCTCAACTCAGGCCCAGGTTTCTTAAGTGCCTTAAGTGAGTGGAACACCAATTCTGTGGGAGGCAGTGATGCCCAGATCTCCAAGGTTAAACAGGTTTGCTCACCTGATTGTGAATCCAGAGAGCAGGGGGGTGGTTCGCATATTTCACTGCCAATTCTATAATTCTCTCTTGTTCTAGCAGTCTGGGGCTGGAGCATATTGAGAACCCACCAACAACAGAGACTCCTGGGATAAAGAAATCAACCCTTAAAAAAAAAAAAAAAAAAAAAGAAGCAAATAAGCTCTTTCTGTTGAAGCAATTTTAAAAGTGGGTAATAAGGTAAGTAAAACTGACAAACCTTTAGCTAATTTAGAAGAGAAAAGATAAAATGAGTAAAATCAAGAATGGAAGAAGGGATATCATCAACCTTAAAAAAATTAAAAGGCCTATAAAGGAATTTTATGAACTGGATGACAAAAATTTAGATAGCTTAAGTGAAATGGATAGAAAGACAGAAACTACCAAATTGGACTCAAGAAGAAACAGGAAATCTGAAGAGATCCTTAACAAGCAAATAAATTGAATTAGTAATTTCAAAACTTCCTAGAAAGAAAAGGATAGGTCCAGATAACACCATAGGTAAATTCTACCAAACATTTAAAGAACACTAATCTTTCACAAACTCTTCCAAAGAACACGAAAAGAACACTTCTGAGCTCATTCTATAAGGCCAATATTACCCTGCTACCCAAACCAGACAAAGATCTAACAAGAAAAGAAACTACAGATCAATACCTTTTGTGAATATCAATCCAAAAATCCCAGGAATACTAGGTTGGTTTAACATCTGAAAAACCCAGGTACCATCTTAATAGATGTAGAAAAGACATCTGACAATATTCAAGAGTCTCACATAATAAAAATATTCAATAAATTGGGGATAAATGGAAACTTCCTCAATCTAATAAAGGACATCTACAAAATAGCCAACATTTCATGTTGAAAAGCTGAAAGTTTCTCCCCTAAAAACAGAAACAAGACAAGGATGTCTGCTCCTACCACTTCTTTTCAACATTGTACTAGAGGTTCTAGCCAAGGCAATTAAGCAAGAAAATGAAAGAAAAGGTTTCGTGATTGGAGAGGAAGAAGCTGCAGGTCACATGACATTGTATATAGAAAATCCTAAGGAAACTACTATAAAGATATTATAATAAGCAAGTTCAAGTAATGTTGCAGGATACAAGACTCACAAAAATCAACTGTAGGAGTACCTGGGTGGCTCAATCTGTTAAACATCTGACTCTTGATTTCGGCTCAGGTCATAACCTCATAGTTCATGAGATGGAGTCCTGCATCAGGCTCTCTGCTGACAACCCAGGGCCTGCTTGGGATTCTCTCTCTCCCTCTCTCTCTCTGCCCCTACCTGGTGCATGCTCTCTCTCTCAAAATAAATAAGCATTTTTAAAAAATCAATTGTACTCCTATACACTAGAAATTTAAAATCTAAATGTGAAATTAAGAAAAATAATTCTGGGGCACCTGGGTGGCTCAGTTGGTTAAGTGTCTGACTTTGGCTCAGGTCATGATCTCATGGTTCATGAGTTCAAGCCCCACACTGGGCTCTGTGCTGACATCTCAGAGCCTACAGCCTGCTTCAGACTCTTTGTCTCCCTCTCTCTGCCCCTCCCCTGCTCATGCAGGGTATTTCCCAACTTGCTCTCTCTCTCTCTCTCTCTCTCTCTCTAAAATAAACATTACAATTTTTTTCTAAAGAAAAATAATTCTATTTATAATAGCATAAAAAGAATAAAACAACTGGGAATAAAACTAACAAAAGAACTATTAGCATTGCACACTGGGAAAACTATAAAACATTGGGAAAAATCAAAGAATATCTAAATATAAAAAGACATCTAACGTTATTGGATTGGAAGACTCAATAATGTTAAGATGGCAATACTTTCCAAATTGATCTACATATTCAGTGCAGTACCTATCAAAACCCCAACGGGTTTCTTTGCAAAAACTGGCAAGTTGATCATAAAATTAACATGGAAATTCAAGGAACCCAGAATCATCAAAACAATCTGAAAAAAGGAGAACAAATGTGGCGAACTCACACCTTCTGATTTCAAAACTTAGTATAAAGCTACAGAAATGAAGGAACTGTAGTACCAGCATAAGGACAGGTACATAGCTCAATGGTAAAGAACTGAAAGTCTAGAGGTGAACTCTTAAATATATGGTCAACTGACTTTTGACAAGAGACCAATACAATTCAATGGCAAAAGAACAGTCTTTTCAAAGAATGGTGCTGCAACACCTGGATACCCACATGTAAAAAGAATGAAGTTGGACCCCTACCTCACACCATAAACAAAAATTAACTCAAAATGGGTCATAGGATTAAAGGTAAGAGCTAAAATTATAAACCTTTAGAAGACATCCACAAGAATAACTGTTCATGGCAATGATTACTAAGATATGATACCAAACATTTTAAAGAAAAAATGATGAAACTAGACTGCAACAAAATTACTTTGTACTATAAATGATACTATCAAGACAGTTAAAAAACAACACACAAAATGGGAGAAAAAATTTTCCAATCATATGTCTGATAAGGGACTTGTATACAGAACATATAAAGAACTTTTAAAAAATGGGCAAAGGATTAGTATAAACATTTATCCAAAGAAAATACATAAATGGCAAATAAGCACATAAAACAACTTCATTAGTTATTAGGAAAATGCAAATCAAAATCACAAGAGTTATTTACCACTTTGCACTCACTAGGACTGATGGCAAATCAGAAAGACAACAGTATAAGTGAGGATCCTGAGAAATTGAGACCCTTACACATTGCTGGTGGGGACATAAAATGGTGCAGCCACTTCGGAAAACAGTTTGGAAGTGCCTCAAAATGTCAGAGTTACCATATGACCAACAACTCCACCCTTAAATAAATACCCATGAGAAATGAAAATATATGCCCACTCAAAAAACAGGTACATGAATATTCATAGCAGCATCATTGGTAACAGCCTAAAAGGGAGACTGATGAATGTATAAACAAAATGAGGTGTATCCACAGGAGAATGAAGCACTGATACATGTCACAACATAAATGGACATTAAAACTGTGTTAAGAGAAAGAAGCCAGTCACAAAAAGACCACCTATTATATAATTCCACTGATATGAAATGCCCAGAACTGGCAAGTCCATAAAGACAGAAAGGAGAACAGTTAAGCGGGTGAGGATAGAGAGTGAGTGATAATCAGTATAGGGTTTCTTTTGGGGATGATGAGAATGGTGTAAAATGTTCTGTTGATGGCTGCACAGTTTTGTGAATATAGTACAAACTACTGAACTGTACACTTTAAAGAGTACCTTTTTTAAGTTTATTTGTTTATTTTGAGAGAGAAAGAGAGAGAGAGTGCGCATGCAAGCAGGGGAAGGGCAGAGAGAGAGGGAGAGAATCTCAAGCAGGCTCCACACTGTTGGCACCAAACCAAATGCAGGGTTCGATCTCACAAACCATGAGATCGTGACCTGAGCCAAAATCAATAGTCAGACACTTAACCAACTGAACCACCCCAGGCACCTCTGAATTGTATACTTCAAATGGGTGAATTTTATGATATGTAGAGTATATACCAATAAGGCAGTTTTTTGAAAGTATAAAAATTTAAACAAAAAAAGAGCAATAAAAATTCTTTCGCTGGCACTTGACAAATTAAAATGCTGATGTGACCTTCTAAGTTCCAAAAGTCTTATATTTCCTTTTCTTCTAATCATATGCCTATAGTCTAGAACTCTTGCAAGTTTTAAGCCTTAGATACTTCTATGCCAGAAAACTTTTTTTTTGGTGGGGCTTCTAGGAAATTCAACAAAGCTAGTTATATGCCAAGGAAAGAAAAATTCCTTAGAACTTGGAAACACAAAAAAAATTCCCATCCCAATGTCTAGAAAATATCCAATCTAGAAGTTTCTTGGCCATCAAAGAGTAAAAGTATCATTAGTCCCCCCGTTATTTTCCTACCAGTAGGCTCACATGAAGAATCCACTACATTCTCTATTGATATGATCTATGACCTTAAATGATGTTCTCTTCTGATCTCTGGACTTAAATATCTGGGCATTTTTTATAATCTTTAAAAACCAGTTCTAGGGGCGCCTGGGTGGCTTAGTCGGTTAAGCGTTCGACTTTCGCTTAGGTCATGATCTCGCGGTTCGTGGGTTCGAGCCCCACGTCGGGCTCTGTGCTGACTGCCAGCTCAGAGCCTGGAGTCTGTTTCAGTCTGTGACTCCCTCTCTCTCTGACCCTCCCCTGCTCACACTGTCTCTCTCTCTCTCTCTCTCCTAGAAATAAATAAAAACATTAAAAAAAAAAAAAAAAACCAGTGCTCCAGAAAAGGTCCCTCACCTACTTTTGTCTATATTCACTTGATTCTTCCCCATCAATACTTTCATTTCTTCTTCATTCAGACAAGATAGAAATCTAAAGATCGTAGTTAATATTTATTAAGACAGTTACTACAGGCTTTCAGAGAAGAGGTTTAACAGCATCTCCACAGATTCCACATTTAAAACAGGAAGTAAATCAAGGAGCTACGTTTGCTGCTTCATCTCCTGATCTACAGCACCCTCTGCTGCTCGATGTTAATAAAGACCATTCTCTCAGTTGAATGATGGAATCCTCTTTGGAAACCAATCTTTTTCGAAAGGGACTCCTTCATTAAATGCTATAGAATTCAAATGATATAAAAACCTTATCTGAATGAATTTTAAGAAAATATGCACAATACATATTTCATAAAACATCTTCCCAAGAAAGAATTAAGTTTTAAACACACACATACACACACACACACACACACACACACACACACGTACCCTTAAAAAAATGCCCTTTGCAGGGCACCTGGGTCCCCCAGTCAGTTAAGCATCCAGACTCTTGATTTTGGCTCAGGTCAGGATCTTCTGGTTCGCGAGTTTGAGCACCACATCAGGCTCTGTGGTGATAGGGCGGTGCCTGCTTGGGATTCTCTCTTCCTCTCTCTTGCACCCCTTCTCATCTCACCAACACACACTCTCTCTCAAAAATAAACTTTAAACTTCAAAATAAAATGGCTTTCCAAGATTAGCATTCTTGAAGCCAAGAGTTGAGGCACCTACTGGACTCCCATTATGAGTGAGTATAGGAGGAACTGGGAGGAAGAGCCTAATTCTTTACGTAGTGAAGCCACATACCCATACCCACAGCAGGCAGCCCTGTCCTGCCCACAGATGCAGTCCCAGTGCCCCGCACACACCTGCCATGCAAACCATGACCAAGTGTCAGTGCTTCACCATGAGATCCTAAAACTCTCTAGTCCCCAGCGTGAGGACCTGGAGCCCCTCCTCATCCCCATGCAAACACTACAGGCAGCACCTGCTTACCGTGTACAGGCACTGTGGTCGGTGTGGGTGCAAAGATGCAAGTGTGTCTTGATTCCTGCCCTCAATAAACTCACCCTTAATGGGAGGAAAATCAACAGATAAATATAATTACTTTATATTTATGTATTAAGCTATGAGAAAATCTGCTTGGGAGAGAGAAAATGCTCATCGCTGAAGACCTGTCTGGAAGTACCGGCACTTAACAGAGATTTCTTCTTAGCTCCAACACATGTGATCCTGTTTTTATCAGGAAAATACTAATAAAGCCACTATTTTATTTTTTAAAAATATGTTTGGTGGGGGGGAATGGAAGAAGCAGCAGTCAATTCTACCAGGGGTGGAGGATTTCACAAATACTTCACAGGAGGCTTAAAAAACACACAGCACTCACCAAGCAAGCATGGACGAAGACACAGTCTGAACAATGACACCAAGGAATGCAACACTTTCTATGTGGTCATGTACGAGTCAGGGCTGCCAAACACCGCCATTTAGGCTATCTACTGTCTACAAGGCAGCAGCCCTGCTAGAGGGGAGGGGTGGAGTCTTATTTCTCTAATTTCACTCCTCTCATCTGTTTCTTTTTGGTGTCATTCACTTAATGGAGCCCAATCACTTTCAAGCATGAAAACTTATGTTATCCTATATGAAGTCACAGATACCTTTCTCTTTCCAAAAATGTTTGCCTTGCTTTCCCCTGATCCTTGCAAGCCAAGTGTGGAATCAGTACTGACTGTGGCAGGAGGGGCATCATCATAGTGAAGATGCACCTCACCCACTCCTGCTTGGCCTACTACTCTCCCAAACAACAGCAGGGAAACCAGCCAGGGAACAAAGAATTGGAATCTGTCCCCTGGGCCTCACCAACACAGATGAACTAACTGAGTGAAACACTGGCTGTAACAAAAAGCAAAAACAAACTAATAAAGTTAAACATTAGGCACTGTGTTAAACACCTGACATACCCCAAGACATAGGAATGTTACTATTCCCCCTTTACGGACATGGAACTGAAGACCAGAGAAAGAAGGAAACTACCCACATCACAGAACTAGAAAAGCCAGCATGTGAATAATGCAGTATCCAGAGCACTAGGCATGTGACGCTGTGATACAGCCTCCCTCAGAGGATGGACCCAGCCCACAGCAGTAAGTGCCACAAGGAACACTGAATCTACCAACTGCAGACACTCACACATGACATGGAGACTGTTGGTGGCACACTCCAGCCCCAAGAGAGAATCCTCATCTTTCTACCATCAGGAAAGAGGACTTTTGTGAAGGTCAAGAATGGGACTCACCTAGCTACTAGGCGGTGGATCTACTAGTGGCAGAAGCCTAAAAGGTTCAGTCCTGCTGCTGTGAGCAGTGGTTTTGAGGGAGTGTCCTCTTTTGACCTTTCTCTTTAGATTGGATTGCTTGAGTTCTTGGAACTAGTTTCCCAGTAAAGAAATTGGTCCCTTCTGAAAGGTCCAACAAGAACACAGTGCAGCACAGGAAGAGCCCCAGAGGCTGATTTCTGGTCTATATTATAAAGTGTCTACATGGAGACCTGTGCCCAAATACCCAGAGCATTCATTTATTGATTTAAAGGCACGTCTAGAGCCTCCCTCTCTGTTTGGCAGCTATCAGAGGAGGCCAGTGGTCAAGAATTCAGGGATGTGGGATGGATCATGACCCAATCTCTGACCCCAAAGATAAGCCCAGGGGCAATCCTCTACTTTATCTCTAGCAGTACTCTGCTCTGATAACCCTACCTACACAAACTGAATGGCAGCCACACCCATACTCCCTCTCTCCTTGATCCTCCCCCTCTTCCCCAAAATGCCACATGGAGGTTACTACAAACCGATGATCTAAGCGAGCACAGAGCACGGGCCATCCCAGCAATAGCACCGAAGACACAGACATCACCAACCTAAGCAAATGGCCATTCTGTAACCAAGAAGTCAAATAGCCAAAGAAACTTATAACCTCCAGAACCATAAAATAAGTCAGGCATAAGGGAGCAAACTTTTATTTTTTTAAATGTTTGTTTATTTTGAGAGAGAGACTGCAAGCAGAAGAGGGGCAGAGAGAGAGGGAGACACAGAATCCAAAGCAGGCTCCAGGGTCCGAGCTATCAGCCCAGAGCCTGATGTAGGGCTCAAACTCACGAATTGTAAGATCATGACCTAAGCCCACGTCGGATGCTCAACCATCTGAACCACCCAGGTGCCCCAAAGGAGCACTCTTTTAAAAGGAGATTCGGATGCTGGGAATGAGTGCTGATGGGCACTTGGCAGGGAAAGGTCAATCCTAAATAGTCAGAGATGACCATCCCTACGTCTGTCCTCTGGAGCAGGAGTCTGTCAGGCACATTCTAAAACCAGTCCTGACAACAGTGAGATTACCAAATTCATTCATTGGTACGGGACATATAACACCCAACTTGAAAGATTTTACCTCGAGGATCACCAGGGAATCCTATTTCTACACACATCACTAGGGAATAATGGTCTTTTTCTTATCAGGTAACTACAGCTGCAAGTGCTAATACACCTGCAGGTACACCAAGGCCATAGCATTACAAACCAATGCACAGGCTCCTCTACTCGGGAGTGTCAGCACAATTCAGTGTTGACAACACAGAGACAATGCTGCACACAGGACCCACACACTTCCCCAGAAGGGAATATGGAAAGACAGATCATTACAATTAAAGTCTCCACTTTTCAATGTAATAACCGTTTCACTATTTTTGAAGGGTAAAAATGTTGCCGGCCCCCCTAAATCTGCCCAAATGCATTTAATATGCATCACCGAACATGTGCTAAGATTGCAGTAAATTGCCTCACAAACGCAAATTATGGCAATCAGCATCTTGTTTTCTAGTTCTAAATTCAAAGGCAAACTATGAACACAAGACTGCTAACTCTTGCTATTAGCGCACTTGCTATTATCACACATCCTCCTTCTAACAAAACCACATTTCCAGATGGACTGCCAAAATTAGTCAAGTGACTCCTAAGAAAGGCTACCAAGATTGACATGCCAGAAACTCACTTAGAAATGAATGCTTTATCTAAATAAAGGAAACATACACCCAAACACACCTTTCCTAAGGAAATACAAGTTGCTTTATTTCCAATTCAACTTGAATTGCAACTCAGGGAGGCCATTTGCAAGAACAGTGGGACAGCGGGGCTGTCCACCCTGTCAGTGTTCTGACTTGTCCTAGTGTCAAATCAGGCAGGATCAGGAGTGTGGTGCAGGCTGGCCCGGACTGGGGGATCCTGATAATAAATTCAGCAAAATACTTAAACTCATCTCAGACAAGTGATACAGGAATCCGGTAGAGAAGGTGGCCAGCTCTGTGACATAACTGGATATTCTTCTTTTCAGACTGTGGTGTTACTCTGTATTTGACATGAAGGCTAATTTTTAAAAAAAGTATCAGTCCCTGGCAACAAATAATTCAAGCAAATTAGATTATTCCAAGACATTCTATTACAGCAGCCATTCCTGAAGAGCATAATCATCAGAGGTGTCAGGTCCCTGGCTAAGAACTAACTGCTTTGTTTCAATCTACGAAACTCAGGGCAGCAATTTTCATACAGGACTGAGAAGGTCAGGCACTCAAAGGCAAGGGGAGCTCTGAGGCAAGCAAGGGAATCAGATTCTCTCTCCATGACAAAAGAAGGCTCCCCCCAAATGGGGATGGTCTAGACTTCCTACTCCTCAGTAGAAACAGCCAGCCACAGTAGTCCTTTCCAGAAGAGAAAATAAGCCCTCTTATTGGATGGCACCTCCTTGAACACAAAACACCAAGGAAAGCGAGACGCCACTTACCATTGACCGGCTTTAAAAGAAAAATCTTTATCAGCAACAAGCAGTTGGAGCCTCTTCACGGATGGCGACTCAGCAGCAGCCCCACACACCTTAGCGGTCGACACGACCTAGACCCAAAAGATGAACCGTGGCTGAGGTTGGTATGTACACGTGTAAGGAACAAACTGTGGATTTCTGGTAACTAAGGTTTTTTGAAATCTACAAAGATGTGGCTTTTGTAAACTGTAAAACAAGAAAAAGCACACTTTGCTTTAAAATGCTGCCTACCACCAGGTGCCCAATTTTAATTATTTTTGAGAGGCTTGCTATCATACTAATCGAATTTTCTTCTGCATATAAAAATCATCCCTTTTTTTCTTCAAAGTTTATTTACTTATTTTGAGAGAGGACACAAGTGGGGGAGGAGCAGAGACAGAGAGAGGGAGAGAGTCCCAAGCAGGCTCCACACTCCAAGCTGAGCCTGACACAGGGCTCAATCTCATGATCTCATGACCGTGAGATCATGACCACAATCAAGAGTCACATGCTTGACCAACTAAGCCACCCAGGGGCCTCACAAAAATCATCATTTTTTAAAAAATGTTTACTTTTGAGAGAGGGTGAGGAAGAGGCAGACAGAGGATCCAAAGCAGGCTCCACATTAACAACACAGAGCCCAATGCAGGGCTTGAACTCGCAAACCGTGAGATCATAACTTGGGCTGAAGTCAGATGCTTAACCGACTGAGCCCACCCAGGTGCCCCAAAAGCATCTCTTAAGGGGACCATTTAACAAGTGTTTATTTGTTGAGTGCCTAGTATATTCCATGCACCAGGCTGGGTAATCTGGAAAGAGCCCGGGGAACTGGATGCCTGGGAACCCTCTGTCTGGCGTCTAAATTCTTGGTCAACACAACATATACAAAGTGAAACCCACTGTTAGCTACAAGTCTATGTTTGTTCTCAGCCTGCTAGAAGTCTATGACAAGCTAATTTCAGAAGTTACAAGTAAGCATTTAGCAACTTATTTTTAGCAATTTCACAGAGTCTGTTGAATCTAATAATAGACAACAAATTGGGTTTGTATTCCTTATGATTTGTAATTTATTTTTTCTAATTCCCTGTTGATATTTGACAAAATATAAACAGTCCACAGCCTTAGAACAATATCAAAAATAGCTCCTCACCACAGATAGTTTGAGAAGCACTATCCTAAACAACATATCTGATTTCTAGAAAATTCTAAGGTCTGAGCCAGGCACTCCTCAGTGTCATCCACTCCTCAGCAGCCCTTGAGTTCAAAATGCCTTTGCTTCCTTCATTCTTTGTTTCTTCCACCTTTGAGTCTTTCTTCCTCCTAAAATTTGGGACATCTTCACAACATGACATCTTCAGAACATCTTGTCACAAAAAAGACAACATGACTCTCCTCAACCTCCTACTGCCATTCAACTCCACTTCTGGAAGCAAATCAAAGCAGCAGTAGGTGACCAAAGTAGAGTCATTATCCTTGGATAGTGCTGGTTTCATGGCTCCACCAAAGGGTGTCTTAGAAAGCTGTCAAGGTCAATGAACCTCACATGCTAATGCTGCCTCCCCTTCAACCCCTTCTCCAATAGGACTAGGTTTAATCAAATTACAGTGGGAAACGATTCTTAAAAAACCACTGCAAAATTCTCCAGATGGGTAGCGGTCTCCCTCACCAACTCAAAATATCTCAGAAAATGTCTTACCTTTCATTGCTCCCGTAAAATCTCTTGCCTCTCCTCCTCTGGATTTTTGCCAGTCCTCCTTCTCCCCTCGAGGGCAAGTGGGTTGGTTTCCACACTGACCCTCTCCCTGAGCTTCTGATCCTAGTCCTGCTCATCTTCTCCAGAACAGTGCTCTACCCACTCCCACCAGCCCCTTCCTTCAGGGCCACCCTTCCTCCTCTCCAGACCTCCTGTTTATCAGGCAGGACACCTAATGCCATCTGCCTTCCAAAATAAAAGGAAGCAGCACAGTATGGCTGCTAACAGCACGTGCTCTGTAACCACACTGCCGGGGGTATTTAATCCCGGCCCCAGCACAAACTTACCAGCTGTGTGACCCTGGGCACATAACCCAGCCCCTCTCGGCTATAAGATAAGATCAACAACCCCTGTACCTCAGAGCTGCTGGGAGGATTAAATGAAATCATACGTACAAAGCACTTATGATGCTGCTGGCTCATAATAAGTATTCATTAAGTGTCAGTTATAATGTATCTTATGGCATTTATTATAACTAGCTTATTAGTATCTGTTACATTATATATTACATTTTATTCACTTATTATTATATACATCCCACCACACCAGTGCTGCCCATGCAGGACCTTGCAGAATGAGCACTACACACCCTCAAGGGGACGATTCTCACGGAGAACGTTAAGAGCCTGTAAAGTACGGTGGGCTTTGTACCACCCTGTATCTATTTGCTAGAACAAACTTAAAAGGCCATACTGGGGGGACCTGGGTAGCTCAGTAGCTTAAGCATCCAACTCTTGATTTCAGCTTGGGTCATGATCTCATGTCATGCATGATCTCTGTCAGTGCAGAGCCTGCTTGGGATTCTTTCTCCCTCTCTCTGTCCGTCTCCCACTCCCGATGTCTCTCTGTGTCTCCCTCTCTCTCTCTAACTAAATAAGATTTTAAAAAACCATATTGTCTTTAAGCAATTTTAGAAATCTGGCCTTTAATCTCTGACTCTGATACTTCTTTATCTGACAGAATCTTCTCTTTGATCCTGAGGCTCTCCGTAACCACAGGTAACCCGGCTTCTAAGTTTGGTGGATGTCTGCCTGAAGAGCTGAACTCAAATGACCAGGCTCAGTTCTTGCCCTCCCTGAGCTTTCTGATTTTGACACTTTAAAAAAAATTTTTTTTAATGTTTTACTTATTTTTGAGAGAGAGAGAGAGAATGGGTCAGGGAGGGGCAGAGAGAGAGGGAAACACAGAGTGTGAAGCAGGCTCCAGGCTCTGAGCTGCCCGCACAGAGCCCGATGTGGGGCACGAACTCGTGAACCACAAGATCATGACCTGAGCTGACGTCAGATGCTTAACGGACTGAACCACCCAGGCGCCCCTAATTTTGACACTTTTTGCTTCCCTTCCATCCTGAAACATTCTTCTGCCTGGGATGGCTGACGCTGAACTCTTTGGCAGGGTCCCCTCCTGCCTCTCCAACCTGGTCCTTGCTCCTTTACCCTTCTTCCTCACACTTCTTCACTGGGAGCTCTCTCTAAACTGCCCTACTCCCACCCCCTTTCCTATCTCTGGGCCAAAGCTACTAACCCCCATCCCAACTCCTCAATATTCTTCTGTCAATCAGGCCCACATCTACACTCTTCTGTAAGTAACAGCAGCCAATGTCTGAGGAGCTTTTAGCTCAGATGTATTCCAGGTACAGGCTTAAATGTCTCATGTACACCAGTTACTCAACTCATGAGTTATTTAACTCATTCAGTTAATATGAATAGTCATATTATATCCCAGCAGATGGTGTTATTATCCTCCATTCTGTATATAAGGAAAAACAATTTAGTAGCATGCTCAGGATCACTCAGGAATGGCTGAGTCCAGCTTCAAACAGAGCTGTGCTTGGACCTTAATCACTTGATAGTCCCGCCCCAATGGTAAACTCACTTATGTGTTCAACTAAATCTACCACATTCTTCCCTTCTACAGGCACTTCTTGAGCATGTGCTGCCTGGCACTGGAGAGGGAGATGGAGAAGGCTGCTTCTGCCCTCAGGGTGCCCCACAGAATGGCTCTTTCCATCATCAGGATTTCTAGTCCAGGCTCACCCTTGATGCCAGAGAGTCAAATCCATTTTCAACTGGTACATGCATATGCACGTGTGTGTGCACACGCACACACACGCACACACGCGCGCGCGCACACACACACACACACACAATCTGACTCTCTTCCAGGCGTTCTGTCCCTAACATGAACAAGTTCAATGAGTTAAGCTCATGTCTTTTCCTCCCTGTGCCACAAGCATCCTCAGCCAAGAATTTCTTCTCACTTGAACTGTTGCCCTAGACTCCTTCCTGTCACTCTCAAAGCAGCTAACAGGAAAATATTGCTAATATTCTGACCTCACCTAGTTACGTTCCATCTCAAAACCTTCAGGGGCTAATACTCAACTCCAAAAAGATAAAATAAAATAAAAATGCTAAAAGGCCTTTGTAGCTTCAGCTCTCCTCTATCCCTATGCTAGTGGCTTACCAGTCAAAGTGGATAATTTGCTGGTCCTCAAAGGTGCCTGACATTTGCCTGCCTAGGTCACTGGGCAGGCACCGTACTCTCTGCCCTGTCAGTCAACCTCCTGCCCGCCCTTCCAGGCCTTGCTCAAAGACTAACCCCTGTCTGAGGTTTTCCTGCTTTTCCCCACCCTCTCAACTCTACCAATATTCTACTTTCTTATCACACTTAGCACATTCTGGCATTACTATAAGAACTGTAACACATCTCTCCTACCACACAAGACCATCAGCCTCCTGAGGTCAGGTATAGGGTAGCATCTGTAAGTGTATACTTGATACTCCCTAGATCACACACAGGGCCCAACACACAGTAAGACTCAGCAAAGATTTGCAGAATGAATGAACACCCTAACTTAAAGTTACTTAAGACTGGCTTCCTGAACAAAAATTAGTAGTTCAGGGGCCTTTTGTCATTTAAAGAGAAAAGGGAGGAAGGGGGCAGATGTAACCACTATAGAAAATCTAGATTCATGTTTAAAACTGTGAGTGAAGGGAAGGCAGGGATTTCTTCAGCAGAATAAGGACTCTTCCTTTATTTGCCAGACACTCTATTTTAAATATCTTACTACAAAAACAAATATTAGGAATCATCAGTATTCCTAATTACAGTATTACTATCATTTTTTTTAGATTTACAAAAGAAGGTTGGTTTTATAAACATTCATTATTTTCTTTTAATTTAATAATCTGTAAAAACATAGCCAAGAGCTAGATCATTTCAGTTTAACTGGCATTTGTCAAAGCTTTAAACACACACTCAAGAGTCACCTACTGGCAGGGAAACGGACATTCATGGTCATGGGCAGGAGGAGGGGGATGTGCACAGAATTTCAGCTCG